TAGCAAATACAAATATATACATATGCCTTTTTTAAACAACGAACCTTAATAATCAAACGACGAGCATTGAACCACAATTTTGTTCTGGCAGGACTCGTGTACAGCCCTGATGTATGCAGCGGTCGGAGATCACGAAGAAGCCTGTCGTGACCTACTCTCAGCTGGAGCTAGCCTGGCATATATTAACGAATTCATGGATAGCGCATACGACCTTGCCATAGCTTATGACAGCCAACACGGTAAGTACTTAAAAATAGTTGCAATGGCATAGTGGCGTTGCGTGACGCACCTTGCTAAAAAGAGGAAGGCAAATATACGTTCTAAGTTAACGATGACGAACTGCAGTGCGCGCGAAAGTTTTGGTTCTTTTAACTGTTGTTGACCTGCCAGATTCGAAAAGTGCACCTTTCTACCGAGTTTATTTATCAAATAAACTGTGTCAATAGATCATGACGAGGCTATAGTCGAATTTGAGTTTGGCATCAATTTTTAAAGCATACAGGAGTTGCCTCTCGCAAGCTCCAAAAAATAATAAGATTGTACGCAAAATCTTATATTAGAATAACGGGGAATTTTACGTCGCTACTTTTTGCATGCAACAAATTGTTACAATTTTATTGTTTTTACTTAATTTATTTCTGCCTCGCTTAGAAGCTGATCGTATTCATTAACTCTAAAACGAGCCACAATGCTCAACTGATGAAAAAGACTTGTTAGTTTAATCAGTTATAAATATCGCTTAACCAGTATACTGACACTGTTAGACGCTGTCCTAATAGTTTCGCTTAAAGTTTTAAACTAGCATGTGATTTTTCACCGGACTACATTTGTTCTCCATATGCGCTACTCAAGATGAGTCGGTGTCAAAATCTTTTCCGTCATTTTCCGTCATGAAAAAAGTATGTTTAAGCAAAAGGGCCACAACTGCAGTTTAAATTAATTAGGTCTTGTTAATCTTTTCCTCTATTGTTCTAGCCCTCGAAGTCTTCGACAACCACTTGATGAGTCTGTTTAATTAGCAAGGATCTACAATTGATACTTTAGGCCTCTGACTTTGAAAATCGCTGCATCCTGGGCACGTTCATGCCAGCCCGAGTACTTCAGGCACATCGAGCGCTGAAAGAATTCCGACAATCGAAGAACCATTCAGTGTGTGGACGTCTATCGTTATGCAAATATTCAACTAATTAATTCAACAGAATAAAAGTTCTCAAGGCTACAGAACCGGTTAGACAGAAGCAGTTGCAGCTTCCATTGGAATCTCTGATTACGGTTCCTTCTCTGTTATAAGCAAAGCGCCGGAGAAGACCATGCGACTCTCGATTCTCCAGTCGATCATCCATTAAAGAATAGTAGTGAACTGCATACACGATCACTGAACGCTAGCCGGAACTACCACGTTAAATATTATTATTATATTCAGTTACGTTATGTACGGCTACTCTCAACCAGTGAGGACTTAGCCGTTCGATGCATAAAGGCTACTCCCAGGGAGTAACCTTCTATTAGTCGATACTTCATTCCATATAAAGTTCTTTAAATAATATAGCGATGTCATAGAAATGATAGATGACAAATTTTTACGAGAGCGAATGTGTTGATAACATGCCGAAACGTCGAAGCTACCGCATGCACACGCTGTTGGGGTAGAATGAGATCGAAAAATTTTACGAATCGTTGAAACCCATGTAAGTCAATTGACGTAGGTAAAATATTTTGTGCAAAGCTTTTATTTGTTAGAACAGCCTTTACCAATTCATACCTTACTCATTACGGTGAGTTAGGCTACAGCAGAGAGTTCAAATAAGTTAATAATTGTTAATTAATACACTAGTAATAACGATAGTTCTTTGTTGCACGGGTCGAAAACAGCCAGTGATTCTTTCTGATACAGCTTTGCCAACGACTACAACATATCTTGAGGTAGTTGCACTTTCTCTTTAAGTGCACCTGGTTTCCTGCGACAATTGTACGGACCTGTGATCTTTTTTTTTAGGAGGTTGAGGGAAAATGCATTATGCAAACCAGACTTCACAACTGTGTTGTTTATCTGATACTGTAGGACTCTCACCCACTAAACCCTGGACCCCTCAGAGACTTGGGCTTTGGTTCGGGATATAGTTTAATATTACTTCGAAGCCATAGCTTGAAGGAACGGGCGTTGGGCTACTATCCCCTTTGTCACGTTCCGATCCATCCTCCGTTCGAGCTCCCCTCCTCCCCGGTGTGCAAAGGTCCGGGCGGGATCTTGTGTTCTGCTCTCCCATTAAAGCCGGCTGTAGAACATCGGATCCTTGCTCGTTTCGAACTTGTCCTTCCGTTATTCTCTTGCGGCGTACCCTTTCGAGCCTTTCCTTTTTTTTCATAACGTCGTCAAAGAAGGCCGTAACCTTATTTCAGTTTCCTTTATCCTTTGTCATCATTTCCACTTTATGCTACCCTTCATTGATACCTCTCTGTGTCTGCTTATCTCTGACCCCATTTAGTGCCTGACAGTAAAGCACAATGTGCTCTACTCCATCTGTCATGCCCAACGCGCAGAGTACACAGGTGTCCGTTTGCGCTTTGCCGATCTTTGCCATGTAGGTCTGAAACTGTCCGTGGCCCGACAGGACCTAGCAGGAGTGATACGTAAGCTCTCCATGGGTACTGCGAGTCCATTCCTTGATATCTAGAATTAAATGCCGGGTCCAGTTGCCCGGAAACTCTCCTCTACTATTGGCTTTCGGAGTTTCCCCACTGTCGCTGCCACTTGTCCATCGTGGCTGCGCGGGCCATGTTATCGTCGTTATTTACGTTTCTCAGATGACGTTCCGCTCTCTCGCTGGCGAGCAGGTCCCATAGAACCATTCTAGCCAGCACTAGAAGAGCTTCGATTGAAACGGTTCTGTACGCTCTTGCTACGCGTATTCCTGCTATCTTTTGAGCGGCTAGCAGCACCTCGCGGTTGGCTTTTGTTCTCAGCGCTATATCTGCCCACACTAGGGCGGCGTAAAGCGCTGTAACCTCTGCTACAGAAGCTAGAAGTCTCCGATGGCCCTCAGAGGCTCCCCCTCCTCTAGGCAGAATGTGAAACGAGTTGACGGCTATTCTTCCTGTCTTGGCGGCTACATATTTAATGTGTTCCCCTCTAGACATCGCGGTGTCCAGCGTCCAAAGAGGTATTTTGCTTTTCTCTGGATACTGCTTCCCAAAAAGAGGTTGACCTCTCTAGTCTTCTTTTTGCCAGTTAGGTATACTGCTTCTGTCTTCTCAGCGGCTAGCCTTAAATAGTGTTCTTCCATCCACCGATTTACGAGTTCAAAAGAGTCATTTGCTTTATTTTCTATGTCATATTCTGTCCGGGCCCTGACAGTAAGAGTCAGATCACTGCGTATGCAATAGTTTCTACCCCATCCGGTAAATCCGCCATTTGTACACGCCATCGTAGGCTAGGTTCCACAGTGTTGGTCCAAGCACCGATCCTTGTGGTGCCCTAGCTGTGACCCTGTATTTCGTCTCATTCTCCTCAAATCTTCTGTTTTCTAAATACGAGCTGATGACTCTGCGTAGATGCGTGGATATCCCCTTCTCCTCCAGTGCGGCCATCAATTTTCCCCAATTCATGCTATTGGAGGCATTTCAAGCATCCAGCAGAATAAGAGGCACGAAGTTTCTAGTCTTCAGCTTCCTCTTCATCTCCTCCCTCTCTATCTTGGGGTTCCTGTTTACAGCTTCGAGTGTTGAACGCTGATTCCTGAAGCCGTATTGTGCCTCTGACACAGCTTCTTTTTCTTCAATCTCTTTGGTCAACCGGGTAACTATGATGCTCTTCATGGCCTTTGCAGCTGTGTTCAGCAGGCAGATCGGTCGAAAAGCCGTCGACCCTGCTTTATTTCCGGGCTTTGGGATCAACACTAAGCTTGCTTCTTTCCATACGTCCGAAAAAAATCCCTCGCCGGAGGACATCATTCGCTAACTTTTGAAAGATCTTCGGCAATTTTTTTTTATTAACATCCGGACCACCTCTGACGGGACGCCGTCCGGTCCAAGCGCCTTCCCTGTCGCTAGTTTTTTTTTTGCTTCTGCCACTTCTTCAAGTGTCACTTCAGGTATATCCCCTTCGTTAACCTCGAACACTGCGTCACCCCTATAGGGCTGCGTTGAGAATACTCTTTACCGCGTTCGCTACTATGGCAAATTTGGCAAAAATTGGCAAAGTCGCTATGGCGATTTTGTCTTTATTTTGTTCATGACAATTTGGTACGAAAATCCGAAACCGTCTCGATCGACTGCCTCAATCAGTTTCTGCCAGGGTCTTTTCTTGCTTCGTCTTATGCATTGTTTTAATTTATTTCGGACATCCTGGTACTCCCGGAGCTGTTATGACGCTCATTGTTCTGTTTCTGGTTGTAAGTTGTTCGCGCGTCCTTGCCAGCTTCTTGTTCGTGCGTAGATGCGTCTTTTCCTCCATGTTTTCCTGACCTCTGCAATTTCCTTGTTCCACATGTGTTTTGGACGGTGAGGGTGCCGCCTGCTCGATGGATGCGATCGGCTTTAGAGCAATTCATCGATCATTAGCTACATGAGCTGCCGCGCTTCTATCTGTATTCCTCCATTTCCCGTTCCCTGTGCCATTGTGTTCGCGCCTTCTGTCTCTCTTCACAGGATGGTATGATCTAACTTCCTGGCTTGCCATATTCGTGTTCCTCTCTCTCTCTCTGCCTTCTGGTGGGCTTATTTAAACGACGTGGAAGGATATGTAGCGCTGATCACTGCCGCTTTCCTCTTCGTCCAGTACCCTCCACCCTGTTGTAGAGACTGTTGCGGTATTGTTTATCAGCGTGAGATCTATGGCAGATGGGTAACCTGGATGTTCGCAGGTGGGAGTCTCGCTTCCGTTTAGAGCTACGAGTTTATCCGCTGCCATCCATTCCCGCATTACCGATCCTCTCCGATCATTATTTCTGCTTCATGTTACAATCTTTGAGCTGAAGTGCCCCGTGATGATAATCCTTCTCCCCGTCCTTTGTTTTTGTATGCTTTGGCCAAGGTCATCTAAAAAGCTTTCGAATTCCTCTGTTGATCTGTTAGGCGAAAAATAGCATGAGTAGAGGACAGCCACGTTTTCGAGTACCACCCAGACTAACCCGTTTCCTTTTCCATTTCCTCGTATCATCGCTTTCCCTTTGCCGTACCAATATATGGCAGTGTTTTTTCTTTCGTCCGTCACTACAGTCCCCTTTGTAGATCCTATTCTTTTAGTGTTTGGTTCTGAAAGCAGGCATAGGTGTGTGCCGTATTTTTGGGTCATCACTTCTAATAGGTCGTGGGTGATAGGCAAGCGCTTTAAGTTAGTCTGTAAGAATCTGAACGCTATCTGTTTCTGTTTTCGTGACACCGCTTCGGGTCGTTTAACAGTCTCTTTAGTCGCCGACGTTATGAAGTTGTCTTCGTCAACTGTCGGTCTGTTTGTGCTCTTCCTCTTCTTCTGTGCTTTTCCATCCTTTTCTCCATCTGTCGTATCGATAGCCACTTCTGGCTCCGTAGCTCTTTTTCGGGAAGAGGGCGCCTTTGACGTTTTCCTACCCTCTCTCTTCAGTGTGTCTTGGACTCGATTCACTAGTGTCCTATGTTTGGGGCATTACATTGGTGTGGTTCTGTGGCCTCGCACGCGTAGCAGTAAGGGGTCGGCCTGTCACAAGCATTGGCTGGATGTCCAGTATTTCCGCACCGCAAGCATCGTATTCCGTCTGATTTGTCTTCTTCCTTGCATTAGTAGGCTTTGTGACCTACTTTCTGGCATTGAAAACGGTTCAGTATGCGGACGCAGTCTTTTATCTAGCATTTGTAGGGCCCCATTTGCACTATCCTGCCGCTTTTTAGGCCCTTTGCCAATGCGGTTGGAATTTGTCTCTGCTGCCCCGTGACTGTCTAGGGTCCCCGGCTATTATTTCTGTACTTGCCGGTAATCTCAATGCGTTTTTGATATCAGTTGCCATTCTGCTTCCCATAGGCAGAGGGTCCACATCCTATATGGCCATAGTACGCAAATTTGGCGTGCTTTGAGGTTGTACGTCCTCGGTTTATTTTTTTGTGCAGAGCTCCATTTCACACCCAAGATGTTTGCCGTACACTTCGAGCAGTTTCCTAGTGACCCCGTTCTCTGTTTGGTCGGTCACTTGAATTGCAGGTGTTCCTTGTCCTCTTTCTTTCTTTATGGCTTTGACGACATTTTTGATCATTTTTGTTAGACCCTCTTCTGTCTCTCCTTTGTTAATTATACCTACTATCATTTTTCTGGCTGCGTCCTTTGGGATCTCATCCCCATCCGCTCCCCCTATGATAAGGCAGAAGGCATTATAACTCGTGAATACTGCAACACTACCGGCTATCAGTTTTGCTGCCTTTGCTGCTCCGTTGATTTGAGCATTTAGTTGTTTCAACAGCTTTTGATCCTTCTCGAGGTCCTTCTCTATAATTATCGCCCTTGTATCTCTGATAGCAAAGATTTTTTCTTTTGTTACTTTAACACGTTTAAAGGCTTTTTAAGGCCACCTCTCCTTTGCCGCTAACCTAAGGTCGTCTTCTGTTTTTGCTGCGGGTATTTTTGCCTCTAGTTCCGCCTCTATCCTCGCGTCCTCGATTTCTTGTAGACGTTCTTTTTCAGCTGCCTTATCGCATCTATTGCAGAGGACGCCCTCTTTATTTATGCCTTATGTAACACTAGTGCCTCTAGTGTTATAGCATTTTGTTCCTTCAATTTTTCTTGTCGCTCGAGCGCAGCCTTCTTCCTCAGTCCCTCTGTCCTGACCAGGGTTCTGGCCGCTCTGGCTAGTTGCCTAGCGTTTTCCTTGATGTCACAGGGTGTGATCTTGTGCTTCTTACACAAGGAGTCCAGAGAGTTTTGTCACTGCTTCGATGCCTCACCTATGCTTTTTGATTCTAACAGTATTTCCTCTTTGGTCTCCTTTCGCCTTTTGTCCGATGGGTTTATCTCCCCCATGTTATCTGGTGAGACTACTTTTCACATCTTTTTTTTCCGAGTGTGCCTGTTCTTGCGTTTTAAACGGGGTTGCCCCCTCGCGATTTACGTGCATCTCAAGCATCTCTTCTTCGTCTGGTATTTCAACCCTCCGTACCTACTTTTGGGGGTTCGTCTGGGTGGGCCATTGAGATTGGTCCAGCCTGTCCCCCTGTACCATCCTTATCAGTTGCCTGTCTCGGTCTTGTTGGCGTCCGTTCCATCAGAGAAGACTTCTTAAAAGGGTCCTTCCTTTCCACTTCTCGGTTTCTCCCTTGTTCGCTTTCTCGTGTGCATCATTTCGTCTTGGAGTGGAAGCCCCGTCCGCCAGTGGCACTTTGGTACCAGCTTTTACTTTTGTCTTATTTTCCATGTTTTAAGTCCTTTGTATCTTAACTGTCTTCTGAGTCGCATACAGTGTCGATCGTTCAAGCCATAGGCATTTTGACGTATATTTACCAATAGGTGACTTTCCCGCGTGTGGCCTCAGCAATGCTCCCTGAGTACTGATGCAGGGTCCCATTCGGTCACCATCCGGCACTGCAACAATATCGGGATTTTCGGTCAGATGATGGGGCAGTCAGGTAGTGTTGGCTGGACGCCCGGGCCCCTGTACGATCTGCCAGCCTGTCAGTGCCTCACAGTTTTAGAGCGGTACCCTCACGTATGTCCCTATCATGCGTTTTGTTATATTTCTTCCAGCTTGTCGGTTCCATGTCTTCCTGTCGTTGCTCCTCTGCTCTTCGCGTCATTGAAGTCTCATATACTTGGCTCTTTTCCGCTGCGAGAGCCCTCAAGGGGCCACCGTCTCTGGTTTACGCCGGGGTCAGGAAACGGTGAGAGTTTCCCTGAGGGCCGGATATCATTTACCGGTACCCATCATATCTGATAGGCATTCCCCTATCCGCCATCTGGGGACGCGTCCGGTAGGAGTCCAGCAACCCCTGCCCGTTCCTTTGTTAGGGCATTCCTGCCTCGTTCATCGGTCGGGGCCTTCCGGGACGGGCCTGTGATCTATACTGCCATAAACTGTCCCATATTGGTTACTGTAACTACTATTACTTGCTTTGAATGTGTATGATTGTCCATCTCTTGTGGATTCAAAGTTGGAAAACAACATCAGCGGGACATCTAACCGCGTTTAACGAAATAGCAACTTGGGCAGCGATTGCTCGGACTTTTGGTTAATCGACGTATTAGAAAATATTCAACAGTTAGATGGAATAGTTAAACCGCAATTATTATATTGGCCAGATATTTTCAGAGCTATAGCGGAACCTATTGGCCTATATAATTAAGTGGTTATAGTTACGGCACCTTGTAAGCCTGCACAAAATGAGAATTTTCTGCAACCATTATTTGTATTGATATAAAATAATC